AGGAAACTTACATTACATCAGCAATATAACGTATCTTTTGCTGATATATTAATGAGAAGAACGGAAAGTTTTGTTATCTCCAAACCTATAGTTGTAGAATCTACTTTTGAATGTCAAGATAACATTTTCTTTTAGAAGAAACGATTTAAAATACATATTACTTTTTTAACATAATTCGTATCTGGAAATAGTGGTATTAGGACTGTATACCGTACTAAATTAACGTCCTTCGGATACTAAAATCGAGGTATTAATAATTGACCAGAGCCAATTTATTTCACCTAATAAGTACCTAATAAGTAGAATTTGCCGCTGTTGAAGTTTTTACTTATTTTCGTCACCTATTATAATATTTTACAACTGACAAAAACCCTAGAACTCGTGTTATTGTATGTTTTGGCTCGGTATGTTAACTAAAAAAAAATCCTTCGTAAAATAACCTTAGTAGAAAATAGTCGACATCAGCGTACCCAAAGGTAATAGATCTTAAAACACACATCAGACAAGGCTTCGGATTCAAGAATAGCATTACATCTAAGGTCAATTTTGTAGCGTTCATTTTGCTGACTAAAGAATGTGTAAAAACAATGTAGCTTTCCTAGTAGTGGGTTTGCACTTTTCACACCGAGAATTCCAGCACAGAAGGTTGACCAACTGTCTTTTACAATTATACTTCGATAATGATTATTTGTGGGATTAGTAGGCAATTTGCGCTCGCGTTACAAATAATATTTTTCCTACAGTTAGGCTACTATAAAGCATAAAAATACTAAGTCTTTCAAACACTATACAACACATTTTTAAGTTATGTTAAATCCAAGCGATGAACAAAATGGAAAACACTGCATCAGCTGGTTGTAGTCGTAGTATCTTTGTGTTGCCAACTTATTTTCAAGAGTACTCGTATTACGTGCATAATAAAAGTAAACTGTTTTGTGTTAATTGGTTAGAATACTGGAGTGCGGCGAAAATAGAGTGCGGCAAAAAAGAGCGTAGAAAAAAAGAGTGCGGCAAAAGTAAAAGGAGTGCGGCAAAACTAAGTAAATATAGGAATTAGCAACTCTGTGCTATAATCAGTGCAAGGATGTCTACTTTGTTAGGGGACTGTAGGAGAAATAAATTATTACTAAGAACAGAAAACAATCCCATATGTTTTATTTCTCCCCATTCTCATCCTACAGTCATATTGAAGTTGAAATACGCACAGTCATACTCATTTTGTTTTATGTTTATGAGATTCATTTAATTGATGTTATAAGCGTTTCTAGAATGGAATGGGGACGAAATGCCTAATTGATAGTGTATCTGGTCCAATTAGGTAATTGGGTATTACGTATGTATAAACGATTTATGAGTAGGTAGGATTTGTATTAAGCTCAGCACATGTCAAGAGGGAATTATGACAATCAAAACTGATAATCCCTCAATAATCATGTACTAGGATGAATATACTGTAGATACATATTACGGCCTCTTAGAAATTATTGGATGCTCGAGTTATTTCCGTTATAATCCTTAATAATATTATATGTATTACTGTAATTGACATAACCAATGCATGTAAATTATGTAAATCTGGTTGAATAAATGACTTATGACGTATCCACAGATCTATCTTTTAATAAATACAATCTTGTTCATGTTAACAATCATTACAATAAATTACCTTTTTGTGATAAGATGGGAAATCAAATTTAGTTTTTAGATATAAACTACAGTTTATATGTATATTGATTCCTACTTCACAGAAAGAAAGATGTTGACGAAAAATGATTCATTTTAAGATGAACTATATAATTAAAGTTGTTTCATTTCCACACAATAAGGTACAAATAATTACTGCCTAATCAATAATGAGACATCTACGTTTAATGGTAATTGGGGCAGCGAGTAAAACTTCTGAATCGGGATGTTTTAAATTATACAAAGAGATTTTCCTTGTCGGATTAAGTTCGTTTGAAAGCGGAGTTTTAACGATTCCCACACCATATCCAATTATTACCTTTAGTAAAAAATTACTTACTAAAGAATGGTAGGGGATTATCCATACGGATAAAGTAGTAATAATTGTATAATATTAACTTTAGTATTATTTTATAACTAGGTGAACCCGTGCGAATTCGCACGAATAACAAATTAGGATATTATAGCAACGTCGATAGAAGTTACGTCGTTGTATCGACGTTGGTCTTGAGCTCGATCGTTGGCTATATACATTTTAAGTTCTTTTGCTGTTCATTAAGAGTAGTTTGCAGGACGGAACTAATCATGCTGAAAACTTGCGCGTATGGATTACAATCAACCAAATGTTGAGTCAAACAAAATGTGTATGAGTTTAGTGTTGCAAGGACCATTAGCTTTGTTTAGCATTCTTCCTTGAACAGCGGTTTTGACGTCCGTAGATATAAATTTGGGCATATGTTGGATGCTCCCCTTCTGACAGTTGAAAGGTGCCAATTGAGTGATAAATTGTGCACCTTATACATGAAAGGCCCTCCACTGTTATGTTCTTCAATTTTAGCTCGAGTGCTGACCATTGCGAGCGCAGAGTTGTACGATCTAACTATGTGTATTCTATTGTTCTCTTTGTAGTTTCTGCTCAAATGATTTGCTCAATTAAGTAGGCTCTGGATATAATAGATTTCTTGGTTAGTGGTAGATTCACTTTTCCTTTATGGCAGCAGAATAAAATCCTTCACCTTGTCCTCTTTGTTCTTCTTTAAAATGTAGCGCACCACATTTCTGACATTTTAATGCCATCTCGCCAAGTGAATGCTGCTGAATTCTTGAATTTGTCAGTGTAATTTTGTAAGTACACGTTGCCACTAACTGTTCCAGCTCCTTACGTATTGCATTGCTTGCCCTATGTTGACTCACCGTGTCCGACTCCGACCGACAATATTTCTTTGTCATCGGGCCCTTGACTTGTTTCAACGAAAATATAATATAAAACTTTTCTCCCGTCGTGTACTAAAACAGCTGGAATTTAATTTTTGTTTAAACTAATGTATTGACATCTGTTTCAGAATATAATAACATTCAAATCAATCACAATGTTATCCTTATGGAAGGAACTTTGACCTCAACGCCCTTAAAAAGACATATTTCGAAAATCTAAAGCCAGTTTGCACATCTACACACATAGACGAACATTTTGGTATATAATATGTGGGGTTAAATTTTAAAACAAAAAAGCCTTATTGTTCACAAAGTTTCATGTCGCGTATTAAATATATAGAAAATCTAAATTTGTAGTGGATTTTAATGGGTGATTATTAACGATAGATATAACTTATTGTCATATTTTTTCAAATCTCATAGATTTAACCTGTGACACAATACGAGCTTGAATAACAAATATAAACGATTGGAAACTAAGGGGTGAGCTGGTACAGTACAAGGGTGAACTGTACTAATAAAAAAGTAGTGGCAGGTACCAGAGATCGAACCTATGGCATCGCTACTTGGGGCCGAAGTTCGTGATACTACTGACCGAGCTGACGACTCGGTTAATAAATATAACTACAGTAATTACTTTTCACCACACTACGATGTTTTTAGCCGTTTATTTATTTATTTATTGAACAACAACGGCAAACACCATTTTACATTAAGTAAGCTACAGATAGGAAAACATTTGAAAATTTAGCTGTCAATTACATAGGTGCTGAAAACAATCATTAACACTTATTAATACATAGCAAAAAAAATGGATATTGATTTTACAAAAAATATAACAATATATAAAATATAACAAACATGCCGTTTGACAAACATTTATTGGAGATCGAAAGCTACGGATTGCTGTCCTTGCCAGCTGTCATCGTCAATTGGGGACCGGGAAGGATTTTACATCCCAAGGGTTCAAAACCAGCTGTTTGCTTATTTACTTCTACAATTATGTAAATTAAAATACACAAGCAGTGTCCATATGCAATAGACTTGTTTTATTGTCACCACTGACTAGGCAACTATTTATGGTCATTTTTGCTAATTCCTCAAAATATTTCACATAGCCTTAAAGATGGAGTTGTGTTGACTGTTAGTGTGTTTTATTATTGTGGTGAATAGGGGTAATAGAACATAGTGTGGTAAAAAATAGAGTTCGTACTACGGGCCGAAATGGCTTTGCAGCTCTTGATCGTTTCAAGTTCTTGACTTCGACTCGAACTTAAAAAACGTTTTCGAGCCGCCAAAACATCATTTTCGGCCCTAGGTACGAAATATCCTATTACTAAGCTGATAAAAACTACAAAAATATCTCTAAAAGCTGAAGTTTACCAAGCTGAGGTTTTAGTAAATTACATTTTTATGGTAGACAGCATACATGACTTGACAAGAATAGTTAAGTTTAGTATGAAACCAAACGGGTTAAACTGCCACCACTGGTTTGTAATTTAACACTGTTTCTAGCTTAGTTGAGATTGATTTAAGGTTCCAATCAATCTCTGTCTCTAACTTAAAATGCAGGTTTTGCACGGTTTAATAATAAAACGGTTTTTGTAGACGAAAATGCAAACGTAATTGATAATGTTTAAAATGCTTTGACAATTCCCTGGTCTTCAAGAAGGAGGAACCTGTATGTATGTATGTATGTACATAATCAAACGCCAATATTTTTACCAATTAAATTTAAGATTCTTTACTTGGAGAATTAGTAGTCACCACAGAGCAAAGAATAAATAGTCACCGATATAATGGCAAAAAACGGCATGGATCATAAACATGATCACATGACATAGTCCTAGAATCCTAGACATTTTTGTTTAGTATTTGCAAATTTCGTCAGCAGATTTTTACACTATGGAAAGGCAGACATCAATTTTATAGATAAATACTCTACTATGAATATCATTAAAGAGTCTATCTTCTAGGACCCGGTCAAACACCTGTATCTCCGGGCATCTTCCGTCCTTAGGATGAAGGAAGGTCCATTAGACCACAGATAACAGGGGATATTATATACCAGTGGTCATCTCAGGCTGACCACACTCATCATCATGAAGGCGGCTCTGGTAAGTGCATAGAGAAAGACGTGGAAATTAATAATGTTTATTTTTACGATTAAATAACTTCTTGATCAGCATTGTACGTGTTATTCAATTACATGAAATTACAAAAATACGTCAAATAACACTTGTAATAATATATTTACACTTATACTGTTTACTCACATGACTGTAAATACATACAAAAGATGGCATGTGGTGATTGATTTGGATTGGACACTCCAATCACCATGAGACCCAATAGGTGAATGACATTTATTTTCATTCGCCTATTGGGTCTGATGACGATTGGGGTGTCCAATCGAAATCGATCATCACATCTTCGGATATGTTTTTAACGTTTTGTGAGTAAACAGTATAAGTGTAAATATATTTACTAAATGTGTTATTTGACATAGGTACTTTTGTACTTCAGGTTTGCGTTTTAAATACTAAGAATGTAGGTTCTAATAAGTTACTTGAAGGACTGACAGTTTAGTTGATAAAATGTATTATTAACTGTGTAGAGATTATTTGTATCGGAATATAATTATTGTTTATTAAGGTTTATAGTAACTAATGGTTTTAAAAGGGTTACAAGGTGGTATATGATTATAGTAAAAAGCTATCACCAATCTTTAAAACAGCTAGAAATAAGTAGTAACTTCGAACCTGACTAGCTAAGCACTACAAGTAAAAATCGCGATTTTACAGTTATTATTCATTCGATCATTTTAAACTTGGTGTCGTTTGATAGGGAATGTTATGCTAAATACAAGTATGCTTGACATTTTTTCATAGGGATTTAGTTAGTATTTAGTATGTAAATCAAATTAAGTCGTGGATTTTGATACAAATATTTCACTACAAATTTGTATTGAAAAGCGTAGTTGATCAATCAAAACTTACGGTGTCAAGACAATTTTAGAGATTTTATCCACATAATGTTGAAAATTTGCATTAAAAAGAGTATATGATAATCAGAATTCATTGTCCACTTCTGGATATTGCTTTATATTAATTAAATTATTATTGTTACCTTACAATATCCGTTTGGTGTTGGTAGATAAACAACTACATGTTTCGTGGCGACTGCCACATCCTCAGGTTATCCTCTTCTCAGATTCGTCATCAATTTAAAACATAAACCGTGACGGTACCAAAATAAATGTAATGTGTTTTTACGTGTGTTTTGTGTTTTATGTTTTAAATTGATGACGAATCTGAGAAGAGGATAACCTGAGGATGTGGCAGTCGCCACGAAACATGTAGTTGTTTATCTACCAACACTAAACAGGATATTGTAAGGTAACAATAATAATTTAATTAATATATGATAATATTTCTTTTAATTTTGAGTTTTTAGGTAATTTAATTTTTTTAAAGCATATGGTATGGATCCAAACAGACATAGTTAACTCCTAGCAATCTCAACCTACTTCTTAATTAAACTAGAAAATGCAAATTAAAGTCATTAAAACATTGCAGGTACTTTTGGCTGCAATCACTACAGCGAGATGCTCTGCGGCACCGCTCTTGTAAGTATGCACTTTTAACTTAAAGTAACCTTTAAAACTTTAACTTTGAAATTAAATCCCACATTCATAGTTGGTACTTGGTTTTAATGATGTGTTTATAAAAAAAATAAAAAAATTTATTATATTGTGAAAATGTTTTTCCATTATTTGGTACAATTTTACTAAGCACTTTTACTTTTACAGATCAGAGTTATTGGTGCGAGATGCCTCTAGCGCTCCCGCCATCTCACAGCTGATCTACGCTGCTGCTCCTTCCGCCACTTCTCCCTGGGCTCGTGCCTCTCCTGCAGGTGCACCTGCTCCTCTTGATGCCTCTAGTGCTCCCGCCACCTCCCAGCTCATCTACGCTGCTGCTCCTTCCGCCGCTTCTCCCTGGGCTCGTGCCTCTCCTGCAGGAGCACCTGCTCCTCTTGATGCCTCTAGCGCTCCCGCCGCCTCCCAGCTGATCTACGCTGCTGCTTCTCCCTGGGCTCGTGCCTCTCCTGCAGGAGCACCTGCTCCTCTTGATGCCTCTAGTGCTCCCACCGCTTCACAGCTGATCTACGCTGCTGCTCCTTCCGCCGCTTCTCCCTGGGCTCGTGCCTCTCCTGCAGGAGCACCTGCTCCTCTTGATGCCTCTAGTGCTCCCACCGCTTCACAGCTGATCTACGCTGCTGCTCCTTCCGCCGCTTCTCCCTGGGCTCGTGCCTCTCCTGCAGGAGCACCTGCTCCTCTTGATGCCTCTAGTGCTCCCACCGCTTCACAACTGATCTACGCTGCTGCTCCTTCTGCTGCTTCTCCCTGGGCTCGTGCCTCTCCTGCAGGAGCACCTGCTCCTCTTGATGCCTCTAGTGCTCCCACCGCTTCACAGCTGATCTACGCTGCTGCTCCTTCCGCCGCTTCTCCCAGGGCTCGTGCCTCTCCTGCAGGAGCACCTGCTCCTCTTGATGCCTCTAGTGCTCCCACCGCTTCACAACTGATCTACGATGCTGCTCCTTCCGCCACTTCTCCCTGGGCTCGTGCCTCTCCTGCTGGAGCACCTGTTCCTCTTGATGCCTCTAGCGCTCCCGCCGCCTCCCAGCTGATCTACGCTGCTACTCCCTCTGCTGCCTCTCCCTGGGCTCGAGGTTCCCCTTCTATACTTACAGTTGCTTATGATGCCCCAAGTGCTCCCACAACCTCTCAGCTCAACTACGCTGCTGCTCCCTCTGGAGTCTCTCCATGGGCCCGTGTCTTCCCTGCTGGACTTCAATCTGCCAACGTTGCCCCTAGCGCATCCGCCACTTCTCACCTGATCTACGTTGCTGCTCCTTCTGCTGCTTCTCCCTGGGCTCGTGCCTCTCCTGCAGGAGCACCTGCTTCTCTTGATGCCTCCAGTGCTCCCGCCACCACCCAGCTCATCTACGCTGCTGCTCCTTCTGCCGCTTCTCCCTGGGCTCGTGCCTATCCTGCAGGAGCACCTGCTCCTTTTGATGCCTCTAGCGCTCCCGCCGCCTCCCAGCTGATCTACGCTGCTGCTCCTTCCGCCGCTTCTCCCTGGGCTCGTGCCTCTCCTGCAGGAGCACCTGCTCCTCTTGATGCCTCTAGCGCTCCCGCCGCTTCACAGCTGATCTACGCTGCTGCTCCTTCTGCCGCTTCTCCCTGGGCTCGTGCCTCTCCTGCAGGAGCACCTGCTCCTCTTGATGCCTTTAGCGCTCCCGCCGCTTCACAGCTGATCTACGCTGCTGCTCCTTCTGCTGCTTCTCCCTGGGCTCGTGCCTCTCCTGCAGGAGCACCTGCTCCTCTTGATGCCTCTAGCGCTCCCGCCGCCTCCCAGCTGATCTACGCTGCTGCTCCTTCCGCCGCTTCTCCCTGGGCTCGTGCCTCTCCTGCAGGAGCACCTGCTCCTCTTGATGCCTCTAGCGCTCCCGCCGCCTCCCAGCTGATCTACGCTGCTGCTCCTTCTGCCGCTTCTCCCTGGGCTCGTGCCTCTCCTGATACTAGTGATGCTCCCAGTGCTTTCACCTCACTTCAACAAATCTACCCTGCCGTACCTTATTACCTAGCATAAGGAAAATACATCAAGGTAGATCAATTCAATAAATGACCAAAATGACCATGAAATGCTTCAATCATTTAAACCATTAAAACATATCTGTACTACCCAGTTTTCTTTGTTTTTTGTGAATTATTATTTATATTTAAATTATTATACAATCATTTTAACTGGTTCTATTTTAAAACCAATATTAAAACAAGTACCTCCCCAGTCTGGCATTTTTCATTTAACGTGATTTAGAAACTTTGTTATTGTACAAAAAAAGTGACAGTTTCCTGTTTAAGATTTCTAATATTCATAGAAACCTTGTCACTATACTTTGTCTGAGGGAGTGAGGTTCTTGAAATCACCAAAATGTTTGAGCTATGTGAGCTATACTCTTTAGGCATAGCCTGAAGTAGTGTGTAGAACTGTTTCAGTCTAGAGCCTAGCGTCTAGTGATGTCAAGGTGCGAGGTAAAAAAAATCTATTTTCAATGTAAAATGCCTTTACATATTCTAATACCGTAAACTGGTGTTGTCTGTCTTATTTTAACTACGTATCAACTTATTGGTTTTGCTTTATAGTGGATTAGCAAATTTACCTATAAGGAAGAAGTTTTTTTTTTATCGTAGGTGGCACGATAAGGCCTAGGTCCAAGGCTTACTTACTCAAAAAAAAAAAAAAAAAAAAAAAAAAAACAAAGGCCTAAAACACCATTCGTTCAAATGTTTTATATGTATGTTATGTACGTTATGAACACGACAACTTGATTTACTTCGATCTGATCTTGATGAAAGTTTGCATGAATAAGAAGAGCTGTGGACCTTGAATCAGTTCGCTTACCAGCAAGGGTTATAGAACGTAGTTTTATAAGGTTTTGAACATTCTCAAACATTATTTTTATCAAACTTTAACCCGTTGAACCTAGGAAAGCCTAACTTTTATCACATCCATCTTCTAAAGTTTAAAATAAACATTTTTTACGTCAAAGCATTGTTGTATAAAGACAAAGATTTTGGAGAAAATTCTTAATATTCCAAATGACTTTTTAACCGACTTCCCCACTACCAACAAAAGGAGGAGGTTCTCAATTTGTTTGTGGCGATGTTTTTTTTTTTCTATGTATGTTCACCAATTTCTCTGTGATTCTTTTACCGATCAGTGTGGTTCCACCACCAAAATAACCAGGAGAGTTTCTATTTGGTACCTTATATATTATGTTTAAGTATAATATTTGTTTCGGTGAAAAATTCTGAAAACCTTAAATATTCAACATTTATTTTGTTTACATTTGTGCAGATTGTTTACATTTGTGCAGAGAAGGCAATAAATCATAATAACATTCCTACAGCTGTTAGTTGAAACCATTTAAATGAAGCTACAGAAAATTTTTCATGAAACAGTTGCTTCATATTGATCAATAAACTATTTCTTGCCATGGAGCCTAACTAAATGAATTACATTGATAAAAATGCATTTTGTTTTGGTTACTATAAAAAATGTATTTTAACGTTTTACCTGATTTGTGTATACAGTAATTCTGTTTTTAGTATTGAATATTCTGACTTACAAAAACATATATGTTTCAGTGAATAGCTGTATGATATTGTTGACAAATAAAGGTGTATTGTGAAAACCAAAGCATTCGTAAAACAGGTCTAAATATAAATCAAATGCAATTATTCCTTACACGACCTAAGAAGTGTGACAGTGCATAATCGTCAATTGTCTTAAAAGTGTTAAATATTTTAATTACTAAACATGCATTTGCAGATGTGGAATGTTTATTGATATTCTCTACCCAGTTACTACAGGGTGACAATTAAGTCTTAGGACGACTTTATAACTTTTAAACGACAAACGATATCACAACCACATTTGGTATACCGTTACTGGAAATTGTAAGCTACTTTTCTGAGTACATGGTGGTCGGATATCACCTTTGGGGGACGGCCCGTCGGGGGTCAGAAGAAAATCTTTAATGACAGCCTATGTTGAGTTGTACATCATTTTAAAGGTCTACTTCAACTGAAAACAATGTCGCAAACCGCACTTCAAAAAGTTGATCCTGCGCAAAATGGCAAATGTTCAAAGATTTTTCAAAATTAGCCAATTTCTTTAAATTAAAACACTTTTTTAAATCTTTAAACAACTGTCATTTTTTAACGGATGGTCCTTTTGAAGTACGGTTTGGGGCATTGTATTCTACTAACAAATACCTTTAATTTGATGTGCATATCGACCTATGCTTCCATTCAAGATTTACTTCCGACTCCTTGTGGGCCGTCGCCCTGAAGAGTTATTTGGATCACTGAATGTGAAGTTATGAGGATTTTAAAGGGAATTTTAAGTAAAGAAAAATGCCGCAAACCGTACTTCAAAAGGACCATCCGTTAAAAAATGACAGTTGTTTAAAGATTTAAAAAAGTGTTTTAATTTAAAGAAACTAGTGGAACCCCGTCGAAATCGACGGTTAATCTTGAGGTTTTATTTAAATTCAGCTAACTGCGTTGGATAGAGTGAAGTCATTAAAATCTTAAAGGGACGATAAGCAATAATAAGTATGACGATTGTGTTCCCTAAAAAACGTGATTGATGAATTCGTTTAACACAATATTTCCTACATTTCTTTTTATCGGCTTTAGATTGCTTAAAAGGTTTTTTAGGAGTCTTATAATTGTTTCTTCATGAGTTTGTTTCATACCAAAGCCACTTTCACTATATGGGAGAATGAGTTCATATAATTAGTCTATCATGTTACGGAAAGAGTCAATATTTATTACTGACCATTAATTCAATCTGCTTTAGGAAAATCATTCAGATTGTATCCGGATTTATAAGTAAATCTTCATCACTTTTTTTTATAAAAATATCTGATTTTCCAGAAAGCAGTAACATTCTTACTTCGATCTCAGCAATTTTAAATCCTTCTCTTGCCACATCGACCTATGTATTTAATTATCCTGTTCTTACTTGATAGTTCATTAGCTTATGGGGTAGTTTTGCCTTGGCCATATAGATCACATAAAGCTGTGCATGTATTTCGTGGATACGAATGAACCATAATTGTAAGAAATTTTATCACAAATCTTGAACATTTGCGGAACCAAATCCATAACCTAGTCCAGCATTGGTAACACATTATGCAAATGCGATGAGATGTGATGACACTGTTGTGTTTCCGAATGTTTTGAATGTAGTGAGGTTTAGATGCGTTGTTCAACCTAGCTACATTTTTTTTTAATACCTAAATTGACATAGTTCATCTACTTTATCAAAACCATAGACTCCGTAGTTAGTCTATTCCAAAACTTGATCACAGCTCTCATCCTCATCGTACTCATCTATGATACAATTTTCAACCCGATTATCAAAAACTGTTATACCAATAAATTAATCTCAGGCGTTCTTTCTTGAATTTAAAAATAAATGGTGATTGAAAGTAGGAAAAAAAGGCAAGTGCCAACCTTACAATATGTATAAGCTAACCCGATAAGGAATAGTTATATGTTCCTTGAAATTTATAAGTCACACTTATTTCATAATTTAAAATTTTCTAAGAGCAATAAAGCATTGATTTTTGAACAAAACATTTCAAACGTATCATAAATTCATCATTTTGTTGAAGCTATAAAAAACGTGCCATGCAGTGGAGAATCCATTTAAAATCATAAATACCCCCGCCGCAGCAAACCTGCAGACTTAGCGAATTTCCATCTGCCTGATTGGATTTAAACTAAAATGTCTCCTTAAAATATCACATTTATTCCCTATTTTAACAGAATTAGTTTAATGAGTACTTAGGTTTGCTGCAACAGGGAGGGTAAAAAGGTTTTTTTAATGTAAAATATTAAAAGGTACTGTGGTTTAGTAAGAAATTAATGTATTTTCCAAATTTGATCAAAATATGTTCATAAACAAGCAAACTACAACAGTTGACTTATTCTCCATAAGAATAACATGGGAATTTTAAAATTACAATTTCTTTGAATTTTCTCCGTAACAATTAGGCGCATCATAACGCTTCAATATACTAAATTATTTGTTTTTTTAAGCTCTACAAAATGGTTTTAAAATAAATTGTGAAATTTTGTGTTTTTAGGGTCAAAAATGGGAAAAACCTATTTTTACCCCATAAAACCCCCCATAATCCCCCGTTCCCATAGTCCGATCATGCTGGTTCGCGAACTCATTCAAGTTTATCCCGCCTTACACCTTCAAACCAAATTTTATCAAAATCGGACAAAAATTACTCAAGTTATCGTGCGGATGGACACATATATATATATATATATATATATATATCTATATATAGATATATAAAAATTTGAACGAATGGTGTTTTTGGCCTCTGGGGACATCAAAATGAAAAAGTAAATCGGTCCCGGGCTTAGGTCTTACCATGAGACCTACGGTAATAGCTACTTCCCTATAGGGAAATTCGCTAATAGTAATGTAAAAATTTAATTTTGACAGTTTCAGTAGACCTTTGAATAGAATTTTAATATTAACAGCTGGTTCATTAAAAGTAGTGTAAAATTATCCATATGGTTGAAATGTAAACAAAATTGCAGAGTGAACTTTAAAGGCCTCTGGGGCAGAGCCCCAAGGAAATTTACATCGTTTCTCTTTTGAGGGCTCACCTACAGACTAATACCTTTCTTTAGACACCCATACCAAGTTTCTACGCCCAGCCGTGTTCTCAAATTAGCTGTGACAAAAACCTCGTTTTCCTCCATAAGAATAACATGGGATGGGAATTTAAAGGCCACTGGGGCAGAGCCCCGAGGGAATTCTCCATGTTTCTCTTTTGATGGCTCATCTACAGACCAGGACCTTTCTTTAGACACCTCTACCGGGTTTCTACGCCCAGCGGTTCTCTCAAAATAGCTGTCACAAAGAAAAACAGTTTCAAATTAATACAGGGTGTTCATTTGAAAACTTTCCATATCTGTTGTGTGCAAAGGTAAGGCTTTTAACACTTGTTCGTTCTCATTTCCCCCTAATTTGGACATGCCAAATCCAATAAA